ACACACACACACACACACACACACACACACACACACACACACACACACACATACACACACACACATAGGCACACACACACGAAACATTCACATACACAGAGTAGACGCTAAAGTGCAACATACAATTACGGAGTGTTCGACAAACACGGTTTTAATGGATGCAGTGCAAACAGACATTAACAACAAACAGTTCAAATTGTTGTTCGGTGATGCAGTTAACCAGTGCAATGAAGGCGAACGCAGCTGTGTACATGGCTGGACTATTCACTAAGCAACGGACGCCCTCAATGAGACCGAAGAAGAGGTATTATGTCACATGAGTATAGAGCTGAATAGTACGAAAACATTGACAAGCACGAAGAATGAAGCTACTGGAGAGCAGCTGTTATTCACCGTGCATGATTTCCGTGTCCTCATGAACGAGAACGAGTGGTTGAACAACAACATTGTGAATTTCTACATGAAAATGATTCTGCATGACAACAATTGCATAACATTTCATCACGAATGTGACAATCAGTTTGAGAAGTCCAATCTATGTAGCACGAGGACGATCCCCGTCACAGCTGCATATAGCTCATACTTTTTCACTAAACTTCTAGGCAGGAACATGGAATATAAGTACGACAAAGTTGCTAGATGGTTTCAGGATGTCATCATAGCAGACACGGAGTTGATTCTAGCGTCATATCACGATACGAAAAACAAACACTGGACACTTGTTGCGGCCGACCGTCGACAGAATGTGATAGAGTATTACGATTCAATGGATACAACCACGAAGTTAGCTGAACAGGTGACAAGCTACTTCGTGTGATTTTTACTAGAGCGCTCAACGCACCAGGGCCGACCAATAGACGTATCGTGCTTCGAACACACTTTGGAAGTGAAGGACATTCCGAAACAGGAGGACGCGAGTCAGTGCCGAGTGTTCATGCTCACTTATGCATCTCTTCTAGCGAGAGGCAAGGTGCCACCATTCAATTTCACAATGGACGACATACAGGGCATTAGATGAAGGATAGCAATAGACTCAATAGCTTCATGATTTGCAAATTTGCAATTGCATCGTATTCGTTCAGTGTTGTCGTAACTGATAACAGTTCAGAGCCTTCAATATTGTGGGTATCCTCTCATATTATTATACACCGAAGAAAACGGAGAGGAATTGGAAAGCATTTGAAGGAATTCACGAAAGACATTGGCATAACTTCATTTGGACTCACACTGCTCGTTGATGATGTATGTTGTATGATGGACTCGTACGGTAGAGGATATAAGGGACCATAGTTGTGGTGTATGGTCTTTTTCTTATGGGATATGGTATACTAAGAACATGCGATGGTAGCCATCACTGCAAAGAAGGAAGTCACTCAAACATAAGTGTGGTTGTGAACTGGGGGTACCATATAATGATGTATGTTACATGATGGACTCTTACGATACCGGATATACCATACCATAGTTGTGGTGCATGGTCTGTGATAGATGATCCTACCATCTAATGGGATATGGTATACCATCACAATGCGATGGTAGCCATTACTGCAAAGAAGGAAGTCACTCATTTCCACACAAAAACATAGATGAAATTGTCAAAATTGAATTTCGCGAAAATAGTAAAAAATATCAATTTTAACGAAATGTCAGTTGTTTCAATTTCGTTCAAAAAATAAAAGATGTCAATTTTGACAAAATGGTCGTTTTTTATCGATCGCCGCCTCCGTGATCCTCACGACGAAATAGGTCGCAGTCTTTTCGTGGGCCGACTTAACCCAGGCGTATCTCATGAACGGATGAGGCACGAACATCCAGATCCTGCTACCGTCCGTTTTTCGTTTTTCTAACCGTCCTTCATTCCACCGATAGTCCCGTGCCCTCTCATTGATCCTCCTCCGGTCCTCCTTAGTGAAGTCTCGGAGGGAGTTTCCAACGACCGTAGCTATCAGGAGGATGTTTGTCCAGACCTCAACCCTTTTAAACCGTCGGGTTTTTTCTAGCCCTTCGGATGTGGCTTTGAGAAATCGAGCTTCGGTCGGTATTTTATCAGTGCGACACAGGGGACATAACCAGGGCTTGTCCGTATTCCGGTACTGAATACAAGAACCATGGGCTCGGGAAACACACCGTTGACAATCTACACACTCGACATAACCTTCCCTACTCGGCCGCATAGGGACCGAGTAGACTCTCGAAATTGCTTCACAAAAGTTGCAAAATTTGTCAGAAAGGGAGGAGAAGGAGGAGGACGAGAGAGGGGAAAGGACACCTTCAGGATTACCTCCTCGCCCCATCGCCATCGTGTCGATCACCCTTTAGGAGCTCAAGGGAGGATGACCACTTGTCTGTATCGTGGTCCGCTGATTGGTTCCGGTTCTTTCCACGGAGTAATCTCCTGGCCTTTAGCCACCTTTGTCGGGCGGTGCAGTCGTGTCAATCCGTCTGCGTTCCCGTGCCTCTCCGTCTTCCGGTGAACGATGTCGAAATTGTACTCTTGCAGCCGTACTACCCAGCGTCCAATCATGCCCATGTAGTTTGTGAGCCTCTTGAGAGCCAATAGGGGCTCGTGGTCCGTGAAGAGGAGAAACTTCTGCCTGTACAGATACAGATGGAAGTGTTGAATTCCCCAAACCACTGCGTAGCATTCTCCTTGTGGAGCCGAATCGTTTCTTCTTTCGTCCAGCACGGTACGAGACGCGTACTCGATGACGTGTTCACGGTCGTCGTTCCCCTTCTACGCTAGGATGGTGGAGATCACCTCGGGCTGCCAATCCGTGATGATTATGAATTGCTTGGCCGGGTCTAGTCGAATCAAAATAGGCGCCATGGCCAGGGTTTCCTTTAGAGTGTTGAAGGCCCGTTCACACTCTGCATCCCAGCTGAGGGGGTGGTCCTTTTGTAGTAAGTTCGTCAGGGGCCGTGCGATAGAGGCAAAGCGTGTGATAAATCGACGGTAGTATGAAGCCAGTCCCAGGAAGGCTCAAACTTGCGTCAGCAACGTGGAGTCGGGGCGTCCCGAATGGCCGCGACTTTTCTCGAATCGGGCCTCAAGCCCCCCCAAGTTACCACGTAACCTAGAAATGAAATCTCAGGAAGAAAGAACTCACTTTTTTCCAGCGCGATCTTGAATCCCGAAGGGCTCCCAGTGTCCACTCGATATGTTGCGTGTGCCCATGGAACGATTCTGAGTAGACCAAGATATTGTCCATATACACAATGACGCATAAATTTATCATCCCCTGAGTAGACCAAGACTTGTTGACGAAGTTTTGGAATGTCACATTCATCGCTCTCTGAAACGTAGCCGGTGCGTTGCAAATCCCCATCGGGCATCAAACCCACTGCCAGGTACCCTCAAACAGGATAAAAGTCGTCTTAGGCCGGTCCTCAGTTTTAACCAGGATGTGATTGAACCCATGACGAATATCAAACTTACTAAAATAATTAGCACACCCAATCGCGTCAAGCAAATCGTCAATCCGGGGAAGGGGATATACATCCTTGATCGCGATATCCTTTAGTTTGCTATAATCGATGCAAATTCGAATCAACCCATTTTTCTTTGGTACTAGGACTACAAGGAAGGACCACGGTCCCGTGGCTGGTTCAATCCATCCGTTCGTTTCG